GGGGGAAAAAATTGGGATTTTTGGGGGGGAAATGGAGAATTTATGAGGGGAAAATGGGGGATTTTGGGGAAAAAATGGGAATTTTTTGGGGGAAAAATGGGGGATTTTGGGGGAAAAATGGAGAATTTTGGGGGGGAAATGGAGAATTTCTGAGGGGAAAATGGGGGATTTTTGAGGAAAAATGGGGGGTTTTGAGGGAAGAAAATGGGAATTTTTTTGGGGAAAAATGGGGGATTTTTGAGGGAAAAAAATGGGAATTTTTTTGGGGAAAAATGGGGGATTTTTGTGGGGAAAAATGGAGAATTTGGGGGGGAAATGGAGAATTTATGAGGGGAAAATGGGGGATTTTGGGGGAAAAATGGAGAATTTTGGGGGGAAATGGAGAATTTATGAGGGGAAAATGGGGGATTTTGAGGGGGAAATGGAGAATTTATGAGGGGAAAATGGGGGATTTTGAGGGAAAAAAGTGGGAATTTTTGGGGGGAAAAATGGGGGATTTTTGAGGGAAAAAAACAGGAATTTTGAGGGAAAATGGGGAATTCTGAGGGGAAAAATTGTGAGTTCTGAGGAAAAATTGGGAATTTTGGGGGGAAAAATGGGAATTTTGAAGGAAAACTGGGAATTCTGAGGGGAAAAATGGGGAATTCTGAGGAGAAATTGGGAATTTTGTGGGAAAAAACCAGGAATTTTGAGGGAAAATGGGAAATTCTGAGGGGAAGAATTTTGAGTTCTGAGGAAAAATTGGGAATTTTGGGGAGGGGAAAAAACCGGGAATTTTGAGGGAAAATATGGAATTCTGAGGGGAAAAAAATGGGGAATTCTGAGGGAAAATTGGGAATTTTGAGGGGAAAAAACAAGAATTTTGAGGGAAATTGGGAAATTCTGAGGGGAAGAATTTTGAGTTCTGAGGGAAAATTGGGAATTTTGAGGGGAAACAAAAAGGAAAAAAAAAAGGGAGAAAAGCTGGAACAACCCAAGCTCCTGTGGGAATCCCAGCCCGTCCCAAACAGGGATTTTTATCCCAAAAAAATTCCCAAAAAAAGCTCACAGAGCTTGGCCAGGGCGATGAGGGAGGTGTTGACGGCCAGGGAGAGCTCGATGGGCAACTCCGGGGGCACCACGGACGTCAGGATCAGGGCACATTCCAGGAACAGGCGGTACTGGTTCCGACGGGGATCCTTGGTGCCTGGAAATGGGAAAAAATGGGGTTAAAATGGGGTTAAATGGGTTAAAAATGGGATAAAATGGGGTCAGGATCAGGGCACATTCCAGGAACAGGCGGTACTGGTTCCGACGGGGATCCTTGGTGCCTGGAAACACGGAAAAATGGGGTTAAAATGGGAAAAAATGGGGTCAGGATCAGGGCACATTCCAGGAACAGGCGGTGCTGGTTCCGACGGGGATCCTTGGTGCCTGGAAATGGGGAAAAATGGGATAAAATGGGAAAAAATGGGGTTAAAATGGGAAAAAATGGGGTTAAAATGGGAAAAAATAGGGTTAAAATGGAAAAAAACGGGATTAAAATGGGATAAAATGGGAAAAAACGGGATTAAAATGGGATAAAATGGGTTAAAAATGGGATAAAATGGGAAAAAATGGGGTTAAAATGGGAAAAAATGGGGTTAAAATGGGAAAAATGGGATAAAATGGGAAAAAATGGGGTTAAAATGGGAAAAAATGGGGTTAAAATGGGAAAAAATAGGGTTAAAATGGAAAAAAACGGGATTAAAATGGGATAAAATGGGAAAAAACGGGATTAAAATGGGATAAAATGGGTTAAAAATGGGATAAAATGGGAAAAAATGGGGTTAAAATGGGGTTAAATGGGTTAAAAATGGGGTAAAATGGGGTCAGGATCAGGGCACATTCCAGGAACAGGCGGTGCTGGTTCCGACGGGGATCCTTGGTGCCTGGAAATGGGAAAAAAATGGGGTTAAAATGGGAAAAAATGGGATAAAATGGGATAAAATGGGGTTAAAATGGGATAAAATGGGATAAAATGGGAAAAAATGGGGTCAGGATCAGGGCACGTTCCAGGAACAGGCGGTGCTGGTTCCGACGGGGATCCTTGGTTCCTTGGGAATCAGAAAAATGGAATTAGGGATGAAAAATGGGATCAGGAATGAGAAAAACGGGATCAAAATGGGAAAAAATGGGATAAAAATGGGAAAAATGGGGTAAGGACTGGAAGAAATGGGATAAAAGTGGAAAAAACCAGGTGTAAGATTGGGAAAAATGGGATCAAAATGAGGAAAAATGGGATCAAAAAGGGGAAAAATGGGATCAAAATGGGATTTGAGAGGAAAAAAGGGGTCTGGATTGGGAAAAATGGGAACAAAATGGGGAAAAATGGGATCAAAAAGGGATTTGAGGGGAATAAAAAGGAACCAGGACCGGGAAAAACGGGATCAAAACAGGAAAATCCTTCAGGACCGAGAATTTCCCGTCTTTCCCCCAAAATCTGAGCCAGAAATTCCCAATTTTCCCTCCGAGTTTGGCACAAATTCCCGGGATTCCCACCCTGGATCCAGACGTAGGCGGCGGCGGCGACGGCGAAGACGAGGAGGAAGAGGATGAAGATGAAGGTCTCCAGGTTGTTGGCCGTGACCCTCTTCACCCCAAACAGGATCGTCCGGAGCAGCTTTCCCTGGAAAAAACAGCCCCAGCTGCTGGAATTCCATGGAATTCTCTGGGAATTCCTTCAGAATTCCAGAGGGTCGTGGGGGGAAACAACTCCAAAATCTCTTTGGAATTGGAGAGATTCTTTCAATTCCCACAGGATTCCTTAAAAAATCGTGGAATTCCTTCTAAATCCCATGGAATTCCTTAAAAAATCGTGGAATTCCTTCTAAATCCCAGGGAATTCCTAAAAAAATCGTGGAATTCCTTCTAAATCCCACGGAATTAATTAAAAAATCATGGAATTCCTTCTAAATCCTATGGAATTCCTTAAAAAATCATGGAATTCCTTCTAAATCCCACTGAATTAATTAAAAAATCATGGAATTCCTTCTAAATCCCATGGAATTCCTCAAAAAAATCATGGAATTCCTTCTAAATACCATGGAATTCCTTAAAAAAATCATGGAATTCCTTCTAAATCCCATGGAATTAATTAAAAAAATCGTGGAATTCCTTCTAAATCCCACGGAATTAATTAAGAAAATCATGGAATTCCTTTTAAATCCCACAGAATTCATTAAAAAAAATCATGGAATTCCTTCTAAATCCCATGGAATTAATTAAAAAATCGTGGAATTCCTTCTACATCCCAAAAAATTAATTAAAAAATCATGGAATTCCTTCCTAATCCCACGGAATTCCTTAAGAAATCGTGGAATTCCTTCTAAATCCCACAGAATTCCTTAAAAAAATCATGGAATTCCTTCTAAATCCCATGGAATTCCTTAAAAAAATCATGGAATTCCTTCTAAATCCCATGGAATTAATTAAAAAATCATGGAATTCCTTCTAAATCCCATGGAATTCCTTAAAAAAATCATGGAATTCCTTCTAAATCCCACGGAATTCCGTAAAAAAATCATGGAATTCCTTCTAAATCCCATGGAATTAATTAAAATATCATGGAATTCCTTCTAAATCCCTTCAAACGCACAGAATTCCTTCCAAACCTTTCAAAATTCCTTAAAAACCTGGGAATTCCTTTAAAAACCTGGGAATTCCTTATAAAATCTGGGAATTCCTTAAAAGCCTGGGAATTCCTTTAAAACCTGGGAATTCCTTTAAAACCTGGGAATTCCTTAAAAACCTGGGAATTCTTTAAAAACCTGGAATTCCTTGAAAACCTGGGAATTCCTCCCATTCCCGATCCGTATTTTCCTCCCCCTTCCCGAGCCCGGCATTCCCGAGCCCCCCCCCGGTCCCCGGAATTCCCGGAATTCCCGGAATTCCCGGAATTCCCGGCTCACCTGGGAGGTGTTGAAGCCGGTGCGGAGGGCGAAGGCCAAGCACCCGTTATCCACGGCTGGGGAGGGAAAAATCCCGCTGGATCCGGGGAATTCCCGGGAAAACCCACTCGGAATTCCCGGGAAAACCCACGGGGAATTCCCGGGAAAACCCACGGGGAATTCCCGGGAAACTCCACGGGGAATTCCCGGGAAAACCCACTCGGGATTCCCGGGAAAACCCACTCGGAATTCCCGGGAAAACCCACTCGGAATTCCCGGGAAAAAATTCCCAGGAAATGTTGAGCAAATCCCGAGGAAATCCCAGGGAATTCCCTGAGAAAATCACAGCGGGAATTCCAGGAAATAACCCCGGGATTTCAGGGCGGGAATTTGGGAATTCCAAGCTGGGATTTTTGGGAATTTCAGGGCTGGGAATTTGGGAATTTCGGGCTGGGATTTTTGGGAATTTCAGGTCGGGATTTTTGGGAATTTCAGGCTGGAATTTCAGGGAATTTCAGGGCGGGAATTTGGGAATTTTGGGCCGGGATTTTTGGGAATTTCAGGCCGGGATTTTTGGGAATTTCAGGCCGGGATTTTTGGGAATTTCGGGCCGGGATTCCAGAGGGTTTCAGG